TATTGAATTACAGATAATAATGTTTCTATTTGTATTGTGATTAATTCTGACAAATAAATATTAATGAATTCGAATCTGTGATCAGCGGGAACCTCCCAGCCCACACAAACTATCACCAACCTGAGATGCGACAATGCCTGTTCTACAGCCACCTCGTGTCGTATTTGTCTGCCCTGCGACTCTTGCCAGTATCAGACCATGTGTCTTGCTTATGAAATTTTGGTTAAATGTAAGTTAAACCCACTCACTTTAATGTAATCATTCGAATTTGAAGACATGATGTTACTTTCTGAACTAAATTTTATATTTACTTGTTTTCCTTTTTCTCGGCACCTGCATATTAATCATTATTATTACATTGTTCAGACCATGTGTCTTGTTATGAAATATTGGTTAAATGTAGGTTAAACCCACACATACCCACACACACACACACACACACACACAAACTAGACTGTAAAGATTTAATAACCATATATTATGCAGATATTTATTGCTACAACATTAACGTCGAAAAAAAACTATTTGTTAGATAAGTAATTTTCACACAACTAGTTAATTAGTCTTTTCTTCTCTTCAACTTTCATCTTTATCACACTTCATTTCCTGCTCATGTTTCGTTTTCATCACCGCATCTCTCCTCTCCTCCTTCCTTTGTCCTCATTTCTGTTTTCCTTCCTTTCTCCTTCACCTCCTACTTCTGTGAATTTAGTTCTTACTCAAATAACGCCTTACCGCTGGTATAATTAGTAACAGTAATACCTCGTTAACATACACTGGCTCCAGACGAAGACTAGGTCAACATGAACAAAATATTGGTCTTGCAAGAGATATACGAGTATTATCACAGGTCTTGGTTCCCGGTTAGCACGAACTCTTAATAATTATTCGTTTCCTTGGAATTACTGTTAACTTTTTTTTTAATGTGTCCGACAAACAAGTAAACAAACAAACAAACAAAAATAAATGAATACATTGGTGCTCTATTGGGCATAGCCGCTTTTTACGACATCCATCGCAACTCACAGTGCTCCAGATTTGTTTTTCCTCCTTATTGGCCTAGTTAATCCACTGCTGGTATAGCCACAATAAAAGATTTTTAAAAAATGATATTACACGTATTAAAGTTAGCTGCGTATCCTTTACAAAACGTTTTTGAACCAAACCCAGCATTTTTTTTTTTTTTTTTTTTTTTTGCTGTTGTGGTTTTTCTAGGCAAATTTTATGTTCGGTAGTTTGCCATTGCTTAATTAACAGTCAGCTCTCGGTACCACTGTCGAAACTAAAGCACAACAAATTATCCGCCGCTGGGATCGAACCCAGTACCCCGGCATTACGAAGCATTACACTATGCTTACTTATATCTTAACAAGATATCGAACCACGCGAAAGATAGAACCAGTTCCTATTGAATCTAGACTATCTTTATCAGCTTATCCCATGAATATACAATATCACATGAATATACAATATCACATGAATATACAATATCACATGAATATTCAATATCACATGAATATACAATATCACAAATTCGAACAATAATGCTCTAACTTTAGGAATGCATAACTTATACGAATGCATTACTTATATCTGATTGCTTTTCAACAGCACTGGACGCCGAGTGTCACGCACAAGGCTATATGGAAGCTCTCCTGATGGTCTCCACCAGCAGCCCTCTGGGGTATAGTCAGATCAAATGTCGGGGGTCAGGACCCACTCGTGAGTGTCCACAGGGATCTACGTGTGTCGACGACGGAAGAGGAGGCGCTACCTGCTGCAGGAACAGAGTTGGTCGTCCGGCGCTGGAGAACAAGCAAGGATCATGCCCAGCTGTAGGTTCAACGACTTCAGATCTGGTTGTACCGTAAGGGTTTAGAGAACATGGGAGCTGAGGCCCCTTGAAAATCACCCATCCCTCTAAAAAATACATGTTTTTAAAGGTATAAAAGGGTGTGTGTTGTGTGTGTTATTTTGGGTGACTGCTAAAGCTGGCCTGCGGGTCCGACTGTCATGAGTTCAAATCCGCAACCAGCGGTATTTTTTTTCCGACCCAGTCAAAAATAGGTACCAGATAAATTCCTTGGAAGTACAGACGTCCTGTGTGATAGTGACCAAATCATACAACGAGTGCTAAATGGGCTGTAAACTTTAGTTCTAATACTATATACCCAATATGCCAATTGGGTGGGAAAGGGTCCTACATTAAGGAAGATTTTAGACCTGTACAGTCGAAAGCTCTAGTCATAATTTTAGTATCAGACTTTAGAAAAGTAGAGGGTATATTTTGTGAACAGTAGCGATACATCTTTATTTTATAATAATGAGATGACAACTTCTTTATTAATTCGTCTACATCATCATGATCATGGTCATCGTTTTGATCGTCACCAGCTAGGGTTTCTTTTTCTCCTCCTCACTCTTCTTCTTCTTCTTCTTCTTCATCGTTTCCCTCTTATACCTCATCATATTCAATTTGTTGTTGTTGTTGTTGTTGCTG